GATAGATCATACAAACAGAAGTTCAATAAGGAAATATTGGCCTTTAACAACACATTACACCAGATAGACTTAATAGATATATAGAGAACATTCCATCCAAAAACTACAGAATTCACGTTTTTCTCAAATGCAAATGGAACCTTCTCCAGGATAGATCACATATTAGATCACAAAACAAGTCTCAATAAATTTAAGAAGACTGAAATAACTCCAAGCATCTTTTCTGACCACAGCAGTATGAAACTAGAAAACAACTACAGGAAGAAAATTGGAAATGCCACAGATACATGGAGATTAAATGAAATGTTACTGAACAACGATTATGTAAATGAAGAAATCAAAGGAGAAATGAAAAAAATACCTGGAGACAAATGAAAATGAAACTACAATATGCCAAAATTTATGGAATACAGCAAAAGTGGTTCTAAGAGAGAAGTTTATAGCAATAAAGGCCTACTTCAACAAACAAGAAAAATCTCAAATAAACAGTCTAACACTGCACCTAAAGGAAGAGGAAAAAGAACAAAGCTCAAAATCAGTAGAAGGAAGGAAATAACAAAAATCAGAGCAGAAATAAATGAAATAGAGACTAAAAAAGCAATAGAAAAAAATCAATGAAATCAAGAGACAGTATTTGAAAAGATAAACAAAATTGACAAAACTTTAGCTAGACTCACCAAGAAAAAAAGTGAGAAGGCTCAAATAAATAAAATCTGAAATCAAAGAGAAGAAATTAAAACACCTCAGAAATACAAAAGATTATGAAAACACTATGAAAAGTGATATGCCAACAGACTGGATAATCTAGAATGAACGGATAAATTCCTAGAATCATTCAACGTCCAAAAACTGAATCAAGAAGTACAGAATTTGAATAGCCCAATCTCCAGTAAGGAGACCAAAACAGTAATTAAAAACCTCCCCAAAAATAAAAGTCCAGGACCAGAAGGCTTCCCTGGCGAATTCTACCAAACATTCAAAGAAGACTTAATACCTATCCTTCTCAAAGTCTTCCAGAAAATTGAAAAGGAGGGGAAGCTTCCTAATTAATTCTATGAAGCCAACATTACCCTGATACCAAAACCAGACAAGGACATCACCAAAAAAGTAAAGGTCCATATCACTGATGAACATCAATGCAAAAATCCTCAACAAAATACTAGCACATCGAATACAACAATACATTAAAAAGATCATACACCGTGATCAAGCGGGATTTATTTCAGGGATGCAGGGATGGTTCAACTTCTGAAAATCAGTCAACGTGATATACCACATTAACAATATGAAGAATAAAAATCACATGATCATCTCAATAGATGCAGAGAAAGCATTTGACAAGATACAGAATACATTTATGAAAAAACTCTGAATAAAATGGGCATAGAAGGAAAGTATCTCAACATAATAAAGGCCATATATGACAAACTCACAGCTAATATCATTCTCAATGTAGAAAAACTGAACGCTATCCCTCTAAGAACAGGAACCAGACAAGGATGACCACTTTCACTATTTTCATTTAACCTTTTATTGGAAGTCCTGGCCAGAGCAATCAGGCAAGAAAAAGAAATAAAAGGGATTCAAATTGAAAAGGAAGACAGGAAACTGTCACTATTTGCAGATGACATGATTTTATAGAGAGATAGTCCTAAAGAATCCAGCTAGAAACTTTTAGAAATAATAAATGAATACACTCAAATAGCAGGATATAAAACCAACATACAAAACTCAGCTGTATTTCTATACACTAACAAAATATTAGCAGACAGAGAAATTAAGAATACAAGCCCATTTACAATTGCAAAAAAAAGAATAAAATACCTAGGTTTAAACATAACCAAAGAGGTGAAAGATCTGTACACTGAAAACTATAAAACATTGTTGAAAGAAATTGAAGTCTCAAAGAAATAGAACGATATCCCATGATCTTTGGAAGAATTAACATAGTTAAAATATCCATACTTCCTAAAGCAACCTACAGATTCAGTGTGACCGCTACCAAAGTCCCACAACATTATTCACAGATATAGAAGAAAGAGTCCTAAAATTTATAAAAACAAAAGACTTTGAATAGCCAAAGGAATCCTGAGAAAACAAAAAACAAAGCTGGAAGCATCACACTCTCTCATTTCAAAATATACTACAAAGCTGAGGTAACCAAAACAGCATGATACTGGCACAAAAACAGACACACCGATCAAGGGAACATAATTAAGAGCCCAGAAAAAAACCCACCCATCTATGGACAGCTAATCTTCGACAAAGGAGCCAAGAATATACAATGGAGAAAGGAAAGTCTCTTCAATAAATAGTGTGAGGAAAACTGGACAGTCACACGCAAAAGAATGAAAGTAGACCATTATCTTTTGCCATACACAAAAATGAACTCAAAATGGATTAAATACTTGAATGTAAGACCTGAAACCATACAACTTCTAGAATAAAACATAGGCAGTACACTCTTCAACATCAGTCTTAGCAGCATATTTTCAAGTACCCTGTTTGATGGGGCAAGGGAAACAATAGAAAAAATAAACACGTGGGACCAGATCAAAATAAAAAGCTTCTGCACAGCAAAGGAAACCATCAACAAAACGAAAAGACAACCTAACCATTGGGAGAAGATATTTGCAAACCATATAATCTGATAAGGGGTTAATATCTAAAATATATAAAGAACTCATACATCTCAACAACACAACAACTAACAACCCAAGTAAAAAATGGGCAAAAGATCTGAACAGAGATTTCTCCAAAGAAGATATGCAGATTGCCAACAGGCACAGGAAAAGATGTTCAACATCACTATTGACGGGCATAAAATGTATAAAGTTGTAAATTGAATGACAATAATAACAAAGGAAGGGGAGTGAATGAATCTATATGGCAACAAATTTTTTGTTTACTATAGAAATTAATCTGATATTATTTTGAACCAGATTGTCAGAAATTAAGATCCTGTTATCCCCAGTGCAAATATTAGCAAAATAGCTTTTTAAAATATCTCAAAAATTACAAAGCAATTAAAAATTGTACACTAGAACATATCTACCCACCATAAAAGAAAGCAGTAATGAGAGAATAGAACAGAAAAGAAATTACATATAGAAAACAAATAGCAATATGGCAGACTAAATACTACCTTAGCAGTAATTGCATTAAATATAAATGGATTAAATACACCAATTAAAAGGCAGAAGTTACAAGAAAGAATTTTAAAAAAACATAATCTACTCACTTACTGTCTATAATAGACACACATTAGATCCAAAGACATAAATGAATTGAATGTAAAAATGAAAAGATACACAATGCAAAAAGTGAACAAAAGAGAGCTGGAGTGTATACTGATATCAGACAAAAAATAGACTTTAGAGAAAAATTGTTACTGAAGATAAAAATAGACATTTAATAATGATAAAATGGTCAACTCATGAAGAAGATATAAGAATTATAAGTATACATGCACTTAAAAAAAGAGCCTCAAAATAGATGAAGCAAAAGCTGACAGAACTGAAGGAAGAAACGAACAACACAACAATGATAGTTAGAGACAAATATCCCTTATAAAATAGTCCCCAAAATCACAACAAAATACTAGCAAACCAAATATATAAAAGGATTATAGACCATGACTAAGTAGGATTTATCCCAGGCATGAAAAGCTGGTTAAACTTATGAAAATCAGTGAATAATGTAAAAAAAGAAAACCACATGATCACTTCAATAATGCAGAAAAAGCATTTGACAAAACCCAACACCCTCTCATGATGAAAACATTCAACAACCTAGGGATAGAAGGGAGCTTCCTCAACCTGGTAAAAGGCATCTATGTAAATCCCACAGCTAATATCAATTGTATCCATTGGCAAAAGTCTGAAAACTTTCCCCTAAAGTTTGAAGCAAAACAAGGAGGTTTGCTCTTTCCACTTCTATTCAACACTGTAACAGAGGTTTTAGGCCAGGCAAATGACCAGAAAAGAGAAATACAAGGCATTCAGGTTAGAAAAATTTTTCTCTACTTGTAGATGTCATGATTTTGTACATAGAAAATGCTAAGGAGCCTGCAAAGAAACTATAGCTAACAAGTTCAGCAAGATTTCAGGATACAGGGCAATATGCAAAAATCAGTTGTATTTCTATATATCAGCAGTGAGTAACCTAAAATTAAAATAAGAAAACAATTCTATTTACAATAGCATCAAAAAAATAAAATACTTAGGGATAAATTTAACAAAAGTGTAAGACTTCTACACTGAAAGCTACAAAATACGTTGAAAAAATTAAAGAACTCCTAAATAAGTGGAAATAAATCCTGTGTTCATAGATTTTAAAAATTATCATTAAGATGGCAATACATCAGAAATTGACCTACAGATTCATTGCAATTCCTATCAAAATCCCACCTCTCTTTTTAGCAGAAATTAGCAAGCTGATCCTAAAATTCTTATGGAAAGGCAAAGGAACAAGAAAAAGAAGAGCAAAGTTAGAAGAGACACTTGCCTATTTTGAAACTTTCTCTAAAGCTACAGTAATCAAGACTGTGTGTTATCGGCCTAAGAAGAGACATATATATCAGTGGAATAGAATTGATAGTCCAGAAATAAACCCATACGTTTATGGTCAATTGATTTTCAACCAGTGTGGCAAGTCAATTCCATGGGGAAAGAATAGTCTCTTCAACAAATGTTGCTGGCACAACAGGATATCCCACGCAACATTGTTCATTTTGACCAGCTCACAAAAAAAAAAAAAAAAAAACTACTCAGACATATACACACTCATAAATTCTGAATATTAAGGAAAATCCCTACTATCCTCAAACACTTTCCCCGCACCTTGCCTATCCAGGTAGCTGCAAATAGTTGGCCCAGGAAAACCTGTCTTTATTCAAAAACATGCTTAAAAAGTAGCAGGCCCAAATCTATAAAAAGGATACCATGAGAAATAAAGAGGAATGGAACACAAAAACGTAATATCACATGAAGAATACTTACTGCTAAAGGTTGTCACAGAAGAGATGAAAAAATTCACCAACTTCTATGTTCCATAGTGGCAGCTGAGGTTATTTGAACCAACTCTTCCAATGAAACAATTCTGGATGGAGGGAACATTAATAGTATTAAAAACTGGTAGGTTGGGAAGGAACTATCAGTCTCGTGTATCAAGAGAGATTGTAATCAAGGCCTAGGGCCTCCCTAGGAAAAGGAGTTTAATAGTAGACTCTCTCCAAATGGACCTGGGATCCCATAGGACTATGTCCTCATGGGAAGAGTGAAACAAAAGCAAGCCTAGCCCCTTTTCCAATCTCAAAGAACTTCGGCAAAGGTCGTATTAGTGATGAGCAAAGCAAGGGAAAAACAACAAAAATATGTGTTCCTGACAAGTCACGGCCACAGGCTTGTTGTCACATATATTTGCAGCCCAGTTCCATATTGCTTGAGTATTACAGGAAACCTCAAGATAAAAATTTGACGGAGGATTATCCCAGATTAACAGTGATCCTAGGCACATGGGAGAAGCAAGCCTCATCTTAAATCTCAAAAAATCCACATAAATGCTTCTATGGGCCGGCCCGGTGGTGCAGCAGTTAAGTTCACACGTTCCGCTTCTCTGCGGCCTGGGGTTCGCTGGTTCGGATCCCGGGTGCGGACATGACACCGCTTGGCAAAAGCCATGCTGTGGTAGGCGTCCCATGTATAAAGTAGAGGAAGATGGGCATGGATGTTAGCTCAGGGCCAGTCTTCCTCAGCAAGGAAAAGAGGAGGATTGGCAGTAGTTAGCTCAGGGCTAATCTTCCTCAAAAAAAAATTAATTAAAAAATGCTTTTACATTTTGGATTTTATTATTTGTTTCATGAATAAGAATAGACCGTAATTTTAATATCTTTTTTTGTACTTTACTTATGTGGCATTGGTATCAAAGCTCTGTTAGCCTCATAGAATAAGTTTAGGATGTTTCCTCTTTATCTTGTTTTAGAATTCTTAATATAAATTGGAATGCTCTATTTGGGAAAAAAATCTAGGCTTGGTGTTTTAACTGTTGGATCTATTTTAATTAACCTTTAATTTCCTTTAATATTTAAAAGACTATTCAGATTATACATATTTTCTTATATCATCTTTACTAAGTCACATATTTATAAAAACCTGTCCATTTGATAGATAAGTTCTCAAATTTTTGGTGTAACATACACAGTATATTCTCTTATTAGCTTCTTAATCTACACTGTGTCTACAATTATGTACTGCTTTTAATTCTTAATTTTATTTGTGCTTTCTCTCTTTTTATCTTAATGCACCTTGCCTAAGGTTTGTCCATTTAATAATTTTTTTTCAAAGAACCAAGTTTTGGCTTTATTGGTTCTGTTTCATTTTATTAATTCCCACTGAATCATTATTATCTCTTCACTTTGGTTTTCAGAATTGATTCCATAATTTCTTCTCTAATTCTTAAGGTAGATACCTACCACATTAATTGCAAGTTTTTCTTCTTTTCTAGTATAAACATTTAAGCCTATAAATTTCTATTGAAATACTACTTTTGCTGCTACTCATGAGTTTAACTCTAATATTTTCAATATCATTAAGTTATAAACATTCCGTTATGATAATCTGTGAATTATTGAGAAGTATGTATTTATGTTATTGATTTTTTAATCAAATTCCAACTTCATTATATTTTGATTTTCACTAATTCAATCACAAACTCTTTATTAATCATGTAAATCTCCTCCCAAGACTTTGTTCACATCAATTGTTCCATCAGCGCTATCCATCATCAACACTCTCCTGAAGGCTACTGACCTGCAACAATCTTGACTAGTTGCTCTCTCTGTTTGCTTCAAAACTGTCATCCTAGGATCTCCCTCCACCATACCTCTAGGAATTTCATTTATCCTTTCCTGCATTGTGTCTTCTATTTTCTGCATCCCATATCTTCCTCTCTCTTCATTTACTTCTTCCTTTTGGTGGAGAAAAATCTCCAGTAGCTTCTTGAGAAAAGGTGCATAGGGAGATAAAATTTTTGAGAGCTCATATGTCTGAAAAATGTCTTTTTTCTACTTACGTATTTAATTATTAGCTTATATATGTCCAGAATCATTTTTCTTATGAATTTTCAAAGCATCATTCCATTGTCTTCTCATTTATAGTGATGGTGTTGAAAATTCTTAAGCCATTTTGATTCCCAACCTATTTTTACTCCTCTGAAAACCTGAACGATTTTCTCTTCATTCCTAGTGTTCTGAAATTTCACAGTGATGTATCTCGGCAGTGTTAAAAAAAAGAGGCAACAGGACCAAAATGGAATCATTTGTGCTAAGCCACACATCAGCTAACCCTGACTTAATATCTAACCTAATAGCAGTTTCAAACTTCTTCAGGAATGAAATCTTAACCAGTCAGCCCGGAATTTCCTGGTTAGCCCTAATGAGGTAATCCACCCAGTAGACCCCGTCCTTTCCTCTTAGAAGAGCAACCTTGGTCAAAACAATGCATTCTTTGCTAATAGTTTCATTTTTTCTGCCCCTTCTCAGCCTTTAAAAATCTTCCCTTTTCTATAGCTCTTTATAGCTCCTTTCTATTTGCCAGATGGGATGCTGCCCAATTAATGCATCATTGAATAAAGCCAATTTAACCTTTACAGTTACTCGAATAAATCTATCTTCATCTATTTTTCTGGGTGCTAGTCTTTTAATCTATAAAAAAATATTCAAGTTATGAGAATTTTGTTGAATTATTTTGCTGGCAATTTCTTACTCTCCATTGTATGTATTTTTTCTTCTTTCTAGAACTCATATAACTTAAAATGTTGAAGAAAATCTTGGAGAAGAAGAGAGAGCCACACTGCTTCTGTTTGTAAATATATACACTGGAATCAATCTATCACAGCTCAAGATTTTCATATTTCATTAAGCAGATATGTTGTATTTCTTAGTGCTCACATTAAGTGTGACCTGAAGAAAGAAAATGACTCGTCAAAAGTTGAACTGTCTGGGAAATAGTTGGAAAACACAAGCAGTGCTTCTTCCAGAACTTCAGTGTATTAAATCTTTAAATTTCAGGTTAACTTGAGCTTCAACATTCTCCCAGCTATGTACAAATGAACATATTTGTGCTAAGCTTTGGTATAAAAGATGAATAAGTCATTGTCTCTGCCTTCAAAGAGTTTCCAGTCCAAAGGGAGAGAAGTAAAAATGATATAAAAAGAGGGAAATTTAAAGTGCTAGGGAAACCCATAGAAGGACAGAGTAACTGTAACAGGTAATTTGGTTGGGGCACTTGGAGACAAGGTCTCAGAGTCTGCTTCCACTGTGTCACATCTGAGCAAAAGGAATAGATCTTAATCTTTATGAGGTCACAGACCTTTCTGGAGATGGAATGAAATCTATGACACTTCTATAAAGAAGCATAGAACATATATATATTTTACTTACTAACTCAGAATGTGCACCATTAAGAGCTCTTGGTATAAAAGGATGAGTAGGAATTTTGTAGGCAGACAAGAAGAGAGAGTCCAAACAGAGGAAACAGTATGTGCAAAAGCCTGCAGACATAAAAAGCCTGTGCATTATTGGAATTGGGGAACTGTAACATAATGCAGTGTGATTGGAGCATAAGCGTGAAAGAGAATCAGGCATGGCATAAGACAAAAACAGAAGATAAGCAGATAAACAGGGATAAAGCTTGAAGTATCTTAAACATCAGTCATGCACTTTGTTTACTCAGAGACTAGACTATGATTGATAGAGACTGCACACGGCTTGTCAACCCTCTCTTAACTGTTAAAAAATATAACTGGAACAGCTAGTGCCCAATGGAATACTAATTGATAATCTATGAGTGTGGAGTTTCACTAGTATTCAATGTAGGTGTTGAGGTGCAGTACACACATCTCAAGCTTTACAGCATTACGAGAGAAAAAAACAATGTTAGAATGAAACCAAAAGCCCCTGAATATCAATTAGTTTACTCCTTAATAACCTACAGCAGAATGTCAATCTTCAATGAGTTGCAATGGTTCTCAACACTGGCAGCAAATTAGATTTACCTGGAGAACTTTCAAAAAGCATACCATGCCAGAGACCCACCCCAGACCAATTAAACTAGAATATATAGGAGTGGAGCCCGGAAAAATGAATTGGTGAAAGCTCTCCAGATAATTTTAATGTGCAACTAGAATTGAGAACTACGTTAAGAAAAATGCCCCACAAAAGTCAATTCCTACCTACTGATCTAGCCTTAATTCTATGATACTGTTTTCACGCAGCATTATACAACTCAGAACACATTTCAAAAATAAATTTAAAAGTATATGTTTGGCCATTTGAATTCCTTTGCTAAGGTCCCAAGAATGTCACATGGGGTCTATGGGAGTCATGAAGGGAGTGTGAAACACTATGCTTGGGGGTCAATATCAGGACCTGCAGGCAGCCAGTCTGTGCTGGAAATGTTCAGAGTGGGCTTTTTCACATTTTACAGTCTCATCTCCTGAGTGTGCTGCCTGAGGCTATTGTTCACTTCATACCTTGCAGATCTGTCTGGCAAGAAGGCTACATGCATCAACAGTTTCTGCTAAGGGTCTTATGATTAATTGGACGGCCTTTTAGTTGGACAGTTTCTAAGGAGAAGATTTTTCCTATTTTGGCTCAGGAAGTCACAGGATTAGTTGTGCAAAAATATTTAACATTACCACAGCTAATAAGTCTCCCATTGCCTTAAATAAAATATACGGCAGCCAATGTTTTAGTTTTAGTTATGCCCAAATATTATGTGTTTACAATTAACTATTTCCTATATTCTGACTGTTTGATCCTGAATGTAGAACTGCAAGAAGAGGGTCATGCAATAATTTATACAACAAATATTTATAGGTCTTACTATGTAGTATTAAGAATTGTATTAAATGATGAGATTAGAACACAACATGTATTCACCCTCAAGGTGCTCTCATTCTACTAAAATAGCATAATAACTTTACATTGATTGGCAAAAGAATAGGCAAGATGAGTTATACGTTTTGTTAAATGGCTAAAGTAAGAGGTGATGGTGACTTGGGCAAAGGAATTGGAAGTAAGGATTGAAAGGAAGAGACAGATGCTAGAATCATTGCAGAGATAAAGTATAAAGGACTTAGCATGCATTTTGAAGTTGAGACTACTAAATAGATTGTGGGACTATTAGCATTCATCTACCCATCAACTCATCCAACAAACTTATTAAGTAACTATTATGTACCAAGGACTTTGCTGGGTTCTGGAAGTACAGCAATGAATGGTCCCTGCCTTCATATAGCTTCATGTACTGGGAGAGACAGACAATAAGTAAAAGACATAAATAATTATCAGTCATAAGTGCTATGAAGGAAGTTTGTGGCTGCAGAAAGAGAACAACAGGCAGTAGTGATGACTGGGGTGATGGACTGAATTACTTTATATTGGGCATTAAGTGAAGCCCTCTCTAAGGAAGTACTATTTCAGAGGAGATCTGAAGAATATATCAGAAAGAGCAAGCATTAAAGAAGGGCGGAAATCAAACGCAAAGGCTCTGAAATAGGAGAATCTTGGTATATTTCTGTGTTTGAAGAAGAAGGAGCTGCCAGTGTATTAAAAGATGCTGAGAAGTTGAATAAGACGAAAATGGTAAATTGACCATTGGTTTTTAGTATCACAGATGTTGTTGCCGACCTTGACAAAAGCAATGCCAGCTGAATGAGGAAAAAACCAAATTGGAGTCAATCGAAAAGTGAGTGGGAAGAAATGAGGGAAGTGGGTACTGTGTGTAGAGCAGTGAAAAGAAATGAAGGGGTAGCGGGAGAGGGATGCAGAACGGGGCAAGATCTCATTTGTTAAAGTGACGTAAGAATTTAGATCCCATCTGTATACTGAGCTGGTAGAGAGGGAGAGATCAATGTACATGAGAAAAGAAAACTAGGAGCAGTTGGGTAAACAACTCAAAGTTTATTCTTTCCAGAGTTGGGCTCAGTCTGGGGGCAGATGGAGTAAGGAACAGAAGGACCCTGTGCGTTGCACGAGGAAGTAAAGCTATTGAGCAACACAGAGGAAGAGAAGGGTGCAGGAGAGCTGAGATCCTGGTCACCAAACCAAACGCTGCCTAATTTCTAATGTAGCTTCATGTCAGCCCTGCCCCAAATTCCAAAAGAACACAGATTGCTTCATTTGATCGAAACAAGTACTATGTGGCAAAGTGGGGAGCATACTCTGTGTCTCTTTCGCTACCTTCAAAAGCCAATGTAGTGGCCCCAGAATGTTATTTCACCATTCAATACATTATAAAATATATTGGGGAACCATCAGTGTTTAATTTTGTAACCAAGAACATTGTAAACATCTCACCATGTACATTCATCATTTCATAGAAGAAAGAATATTTTAGAACCAAAAAGTAGGAAGAATATAATATCAAGATTAAAAACAAATAACAAATCTAGCTTCATAGAAAACCTCTCTACACTGTTTTCTTATTTTATTTCTGCCTGTCATGGATTGGTGACAATATCCCCCAGTCTTGTGTCAGTACAGAAATTAGTGTTAGGAAATCACTGGACCAAATGACTCAAAAAATCTCCTCCAATTAAAATTCTATGATTCAGTTAATGGTAATAAAAAAGTATCATATTTGAAGTAAAATGCTTTCTTTTTCATGTTCTATTCAGTGATCTTATAGTAACTTTCCCCCAGTCACCTTTGCAGTTCTCTCAGCCTTAGGGATCTAAAGCAACACTCTGCCACTCGCATCAGTTTCAAAGGCCACTTCTCCCAAGTCTTCAGAAAGCCCTGAGCACTTAGAATAAACACCTCTCTCAGCACAAGACATAATAGCAGGTTCGACTGTTTTCTGTTGGCTAGAATGTTGATGAAAACCTCAGTAATCACACTCTGCTCTACACAAATCCAAAATCAAAACGGCAAATTAATTTTCAGAGAACAGAAAGAACTGAAAGAAAAAAGATAATAAAGCTGCCTCGCCAAAAGAAAGAAAAACATGAAAGTTCACTGGTAGGTTTATTTGGATATTTTTATTTCTAAAGTGTTCAAGTAACCTAGTATTTTTGAGTACTCTTAAAGAGACATATTAAAATATCAAATAGGATATTTACAAAGATCACTTATTACGGTGAAATCAAAATACCAGAATTGTTACTAGCTTAATGAGAGCTCTGATCTGTGGGCATGTGCCTGATGATGCCTTTCGAATTCCACCAGCAAGGGCCTGGAGCAAAGGTTCTTCCACTGCAGGGTCTGCATTATTGAATTCTCCACCTGCCCTAATTCTATATATTTCCAATTTGCTGACCTTCAGAGCTGATGTCAGTGAAAGGGAATTGTTTTCTGACAAGCTAACATTTTAAGGCTAATGGTTTTTTAATAAGCAATTGAGTTTGCAGCATTCAGCTCTTGTTATGTTTTATTGGTTTTGTGCTTTAATTCAGTATGTGTGTTTTGGCATGACTCCATGGCAGGTGCACTTTTAAAAATGGAATCAATAAGATTCACTGTGATATATGATATGAGCATTCCAAGCTTAGATTTCAAAACAAAATACTAGGCTTGGCTCTTTTCAGAGCCCTGCAAAGAAAATGTGTTGATTCCTTAGGGCTTTCCTCACGGCAGCTTTGTGAAATCCTGTTCACACTCCTTGAATGTCCAAATCTGCCTTCCCCTAAACAGCTCTCACTCAGAACCCA